ATAATTAATATCTTTAATATTATTAAAATTATTTTAAAATTTTTATTTATTATTTATTAATTATATACTATATTTTTATTTTAGCTTATAAATAGAGGGGATCAAGCTTAATAAAATTATAAAAATATATATAAAAAAACATTTTAGCGGCCAAATATAGCCGCTAGACAGTTTAAGAGATATATATTAATTACATATGCTTGTAAATACAGTGATAAAGATTGATATAACCTTAATTTTTTAAAAAACTTATACCACTAAAAGAACTATATTAAATTTATTTATTATCATAATTATTAGTAGTTTATTATATAAAATTTGTCTATTATTTTGTACTATTGTTGCTACAAATATTATCAATAGTCATTATGGACAAAGCAATGAAAATTAAATTTATTTTAATAATTGATTTTTAATCGTTTCAATGATCTTTTGAACTTTTATTAAACTATAGCATAAATTAAAATGTATTAGTAGCTCATATTCCAATATTATTGCAGCTACATTACCTATTAAATGTCTTAAATATTGTAACTATGTCAACCAGTAAACCAATTAACTGCGAAGAGAGTTCTATTAATAGTTATAGCAAAAAGGAAGCAACTGATCTATTAAATCAATTAGAATATTTATTCTAAAATATAAAGCTAATTCTTAAAATATGATCCATTATATCTTAGAGAAGCTGACTAACAAATAGTTGCAGGGATAAGTAAAACTGTATCAGGTTATTAATAATCAACTTGATTGTACATTCTTGGGTGCAGTAAAGTGATCTACATACTAGTAGTCTATAACATTATCCATACTAATAGGCCAATACTCTAAGACTGCTATGCTATTATTGTAGCTATAGAGTACTCATGTTTCCAAGCATTTATTTATAATGTAGTCCAGATATAGTTGTTAAACAATTTAAAACTGACGAAAAAAAATGAGACTAAAACCCCTTTGATAAAAATATAATTAGAAAAATAAAAGAATCGAATAGTGAAAATTAAAACCATAGCTAAGTTGAATTTAAAAATATATTTAATGGTTTAATTAATAGGATGCAATTTAAACGCCCTGGCAATGGGCAAAATATAGAAATTTAACTAAATGAAGATGCCTATCATTAAGGTAATTAAAGTATAAAACACGTAGCTTACTACGTCAAATTTTTCTTACTATATCAGGAGTAATAATACGGTAGTTTTTTATAACAAGAAAATAATACTTATATTTTAAAGTATTATTGCGTAGAGTAAAAATTGAGACAAGGATTTACAGTATATCAAAAATGTAACTTCTGCATAATTTATAAAATTGGCAATTTACAATTCACATGATTTGGAAGCGTAAAATTACTAAAATTATCAATGATTATCAATGTGACATTTCCACACTTATGCAAGTGTAGAATTTTTAAAATTGTTAACAATCATTTCCACATTAATGTGGAATCATTCCACGATTGGGGAATCGTTTACGCAATTGTGGAAATAATTCTCCTGCATCATTATTAATGATGCATGAAAAGATAATAGGTACGTACATATGTACGTATGCATATGCGTATGATTGTATATGATAGAAATTATAGTTACGCATGTACGTATACACAGCGCATTTACTAATTTCCCTCAAGCTTTGATTGGCTGGAATTATTCGTGACAATTTACATGTCACCTTATAATTAAAATGTGACATCATAGTTAGGGTTTGGGTTAGGGTTAGTGGACGACATTATACTAAAATTTTTTTTGTTAGTTCATAAAAGGTAATTTCTTAGGCAAAATTTTGCGATAAGTGTGACTTTTCAAAAAAGAGCGATTGTTGTTTTGATCTTCACATTACACCTGATCTTACATTCTGATTGGCCAATATTAAATCTTAGGGAAAAGTAAACGCATATACAGCAGTGTTAAAAATTCAGTGTGCATGTATTGTTATTATATAAAAAATAAAATAACACTCACGTATAAAAATTTTTTTACATAGCATACATAGGTCGAATGAAACCATACCGGATAACAATCGGTTATTCCATGGGTACTATGTAACAACCTGTGTTTTTTGTCAAGGTTATTTTCATCAGTCTATATGAAAATCATGTGATTTTCATATAGACCAATATGACAACCTTCTCAAAATTAATCTTAAAATTCGCTAGAAAACTAATTTTTTTTGTACCAAAATTTCTGTTATTAAAAGCATTTTTTATTCAATTAATTCAATATTTTACATAATTGTTCGTTTAAATAAAAAAAAAAAAAAAAACATTTAAATGTTAAAAAAAAAAAAACACATTAAAAGTGATAATGAAAATAATAGTAAATTTCTTTTTGGTTTGAATAACTATCATTTAAATCTTTAATGTCTTGGTAAGTCATAGGTGAAAATGATTAGAAATATCATTTAAAGCCAGTCTTAATTGTGCTGGAGGTTTTGTAGAAGAAAGCCTGGGATACATGATTGTTTTTTTTTTGATATTTGAGAACTATCAGAACCCAGATCTTGTGGTTCTTTATAAGGCGCCTTAAATGGTGCATAAACTTTTTTTGAATTATGCTTTGATCGTATTGGCGGCCTACTGATGATGTTCTTGGCGATAATTTATTTGATGTTCCTGGCGATGCTTCATTTGATGTTCTCGGCGATGATTCATTAGATGTTCTCGGCGATAATTCATGCGTTGTTCCCGGTGATGATTTATATGATGTTTCCGGTGATGATTCATATAATGTTCCCGGTGATGATCATACAATATTTCTATCGATGATTCACGCAAAAGTCATGGCGATGATTCATGCGATGGTTGTGAATTTTTTTTTTGTGGAGGTGCTAAAAAAACAAGCCATTAATTAAACTTTAATAATGTATAATAATGTAAATTCTAATTTATAAAATATAATCACCTTCATCGTAATCTTCCTCTTCAAAATCTAGATGGTTTTTTGTGTCCCCGGGAAAGTAAGTAAACTCTTCATAAGGAATATCGTCAAAATCCAGAGGGATTAATAATGATATATTCCTAAGCCTCTGGTCATCATTTGGACTATTATAGGCAGTGTTGTTACATAGGTATTTGGCCGGCCAGTGGCCACGGCCAATAGCCGTGGCCAACGGCCAAATTTTTGAAAATTTTTTTTTGGCCAAAATAGCCAAAAGTTTATATAATAAAAACTAGCAATATAATTGGTTAATATTACAAAATTAAAAATTTTTGGCCAAAGTTTGGCCATTGGCCAATGGCTGGTTGGCCAGTTGGCCGGCCCCAAAAAATTGTTTGGCCACAAAAATTGCCAACACTGATTATAGGCCCTGATTCCTTCTCTACTATGATGGCCAGAGAACATCATACGTTCATCTTCAAGAACATCCAAGTTCTTAAGCTGTTGAATCACAGTACGACATAGCGAATGGTTGCAGACTTTACAACCATTATCAAGGTTGATACTAGTAAGTTCTGCAATTTTTGGCATTATTGTATTCAACTTATTTGTTCTCATCTGAGATTTCTTAAACTAAACCCCTTATTAATATCTGTAAGAAAAAAAAAAAAGTAAAAATAGTACTACAAGATCGAAGTCAAAAAAAACAGTGCTTTAAACCCTTTGCCGCCCATTTTGTTTCCAAGAAAAATAAATCACAAGCATCAACAGGACGAAAAGAAATCAAATACAAAATATCCTCAATTGGTTTAAAGCAATTATTCACTTGATCTGGAGGAATGAGTATTTTTCTTGCAGAGCTTTTTCTATATTTGTTTCGTTTTAAAGCCCCACGTTGATTGTTTTTCTCATAATTAAATGTAAGATAAAGCCCACCATCATCTCGACGAGAAATATCTTTGAATTTAATTCTTTCAGCGTCGCCACCACAGAGACCACAGAGAAGGGACAACCAAAAGAACACTCGTCAAATCAACCCTTCATTAGTTCCAACTTCCATTAATTCATGGTTGAGAATATTAGAAATTTCTTTAGCAGTTAATGGTGAGGCTTGATCCATTTCTCCCAACCTTCATTTTGCAATTTCTTCATTTTACCATCAGCGTTCTCAATGCCTTATTAAAATGGTATGAATCCCATAACTTACATGGTTTAATTTTGCTGTGTTCTTTTAAATAACGGGCCACAGAAGCATAGCAATTATGAACGCTTTCTGCTTTGTAATCTTTTCCATCTAGCCATTTTAGCCAGGTAAGAAACTTGCACAAAAAGTCATCTAATTCTGCAAGTGACTCTATTTCCTCAATTCTTCTTTCATAATTTAAGGTTTCACGGAACCTGTCAACAAAGCATAGCCACTTAGAGGTATACTTGTCTGTATTCTCTACACGTGAAAGCTTTTGCAATTCAAGAACTTCAGCTTTAGTTGGTGCAACGTTTCTATTTCTTGTTCTCATTTTTTTTAAAAAAAGATTGATAAGAAAAAAAAGATCGATTCGATTACTAAAATAAGT